CCCTGTGGAGGTCAGCAAGCAGCACGCACAGGCTCTCGGGCTACCAGCCATGATGCCGTACTGGTCTCTGGGTTACCAGCAGGCTAAGTATGGGTACTGGGATGTCAACATCCTGGCCGAGATGGCGGCGAATTACAGCACTGCGAACATTCCTCTCGAGGTCGTCTGGGCTGATATCGATTACATGCACTATCGAAAGGACTTTACGCTCGACCCTGACAGGTTTCCCCTGTGGAAGACGCGAGAGCTCGTCGACACCTTGCACAAGCGGAAGCAGAAGTTCGTCATGATGCTTGATCCGGGCATCAGCACTGACCAGGGCTATGATTCCTACAGCCGCGGCCACGAGCAGGGTGCTTTCCTCAAGACCAAGGACGGATCCGACTACCGCGGTGTCCAGTGGGCTGGCGCAGTTGCTTGGCCCGATTATCAGTCCAAGGAAGGACTCAGCTGGTGGACAGACGAGATCAAGAGCTTCTTCGATGCAGGGACCGGCGTCAATGTGGACGGGATCTGGAACGATATGAACGAAGGATCGAACTTCTGCCCAGATACTACTTGCAACCCGGAACAGCATGCCAAGGATACAAACACACCTCCTGAACCGTCAAACCCGCCTCGCAACAACACTGGTCGTCCTATTCCTGGATTCCCTCCTAGCTTCCAGCCTGACCCAAGCTCTACCGGAGAGGTTCTCCATGCCAGTGCTGCCAGCCCTGTCGAGTCCTACACAGATGAAGAGCTCAGGAGAAGAGAAGAGGAGGAGGAAGGGTCGCTAGAGTTGCGACGCCAGAGCATCAGAGAAGAAGAGACCAAGGGCGACAAGAAGGGACTGCCAGGTCGAGACTTGTTCACGCCCAAGTACACAATCGACAACAAGCAAGGCGCTCTCAGCGCCAGGACCATCTGGACAAACATCACCAACCACGACGGCACCCACCAGTACGACACACACAACATGTACGGCCTCACCATGGTCAAGGCCACGCACAAGGCCATGCTGGCCCGCAAGCCCAACGTGCGGCCCTTCGTCCTCACGCGCTCCAACTTCCTCACCACGGGCGCCTGGGCCGCCCACTGGTTCGGGGACAACTACTCGAGCTGGGACGACTACCGCTTCGCCATCTCCCAGATGCTCGCGTACGCCACCGTCCACAACATCCCCATGGTCGGCTCCGACGTGTGCGGCTTCAACGGCGACGCCCAGGAGCACATGTGCGCCCGCTGGGCCGCCATGGCCGCCTTCCAGCCCTTCATGCGCAACCACGCCGACATCTCGGCGCCCCAGCAGGAGTTCTACAGGTGGCCGACGGTCGTGTCCGCCGCGCAGAAGGCGCTCGACGCCCGGTACAGGCTGCTCGACTACATCTACTCGGCCCTGTTCCTCGCGCACAGGGAGGGCACCCCGAGCGTCAGCCCGCTCTTCTTCCAGTACCCCGCAGACAGGAACGTCTACTACAACCAGGAGCAGTGGTTCCTCGGCGACTCCATCCTCGTGAGCCCCGTCATCGGCAACGACGCGACGTCGGTGACGTACTACCTCCCCGACGACGTCTTCTACGACTTCTGGACCCTCGAGCAGGTCCGCGGCAAGGGAGCCACCGTGACCGTCGACAACGTCCCGTGGACCGACATCCCCGTCCACTACCGCGGCGGCAAGGTCGTGCCGCTCCGCGTCGAGTCCGCCAACACGACCGCCGCGCTGCGCGAGAAGGACTTCCACATCGTCGTCGCGCCCGGCGTGGACGGCAGGGCCACGGGCACGCTGTTCCTCGACGACGGGGAGAGCGTCGAGGGCGCCGTCTCGGACGTCCACTTCTTCTGGAACGGCGATAAGCTCAAGGTGAACGGCAACTTCCACTACAGGTCCGGCCGCAAGGTGCGCGAGGTGACGATCCTCGGGGAGAAGGGCCAGCGCACGGCCAAGGGGGAGTGGTCGCTCGATCGGGCATTTGAGGTGTCCAGGTTTTCGTAGGGGGTGTTTGTGTGCATAGATAGGTAGTCGTTTTGGAGGACTTACTCAGACGCATATCTTGATACATCTATATATACATTTTTCGATGTTTACCTAGCCTCGCTAAGCCACGTTTAGGTGGCCAAATAATAAGTGGTGGTGGTTGGATGGTGAAATTTTATTCACATGTCTTCAGTGGTGAATGTTCAAATGTGGAGGATGGGGATTCATTATGTTAGTATTATTACAATTTGCTAGAAACGTCTACCGCCCACACTGAATCAAACGAAAAACATAATTGAGTAAAGGATACAGTTTTCCGAGGCCAAAAAAGTTTAAATAGGTTGATACATTCGAGATATTACAATGATAATTATGGTCCTGACTACATGCAGGTATAGGGTAGGTAGAGTTCATAGACGAACTCTTGCTGCTGCACTGTATTTTAGGGCACAATCCCTGCGCTGAGCAGAATAAAGCCCCGCGGTAGAGAGAAAAACTCATGTCAGCGTGTTACTTACGAGCATGTGTTAAATATGGAAAATTGCTGATATAATATGTCAATTTTATGGAAGCTTGGCTCCCTGTCTAGGTAGGATCAGCATCATATGGACAAAACCAGTCCAGTAGGCATGAAATCAGGCCTCGAGGACCGGATTCAAAAGGCAAGCCGCAGCTGGTGGCCAAGATGGGTGATTCTTCTTGGTACTGGAGAATCCTGATTGACCCTTGACTGGGCCAGATCTGGAAAAGCACCACGCAAATTTCCTCATTAGGACGATTTGGCGCTTTGCAGACAAATCGCCAGAATCTGATAATGCCGATCGGCTAACCGCGGACGTCCGCGGGACAAGGATTGTCATATATTACAGGCTTACAGATGGGAGGGCTATGCCCGATAGTCTGGAAGACGATCAGAATTAAAATGTAATACCGGGGCTATCTGGAATCTGCAGGTGGCTTACGCTTTCCCGCAGAGGCTGGTTGGACGCGCGGAGGGGGGGAGCCCGGTATATCGCACAGTGACACCCAGCAACGGCCAATGGTTGAAGCATCTCAGGCGGGTTTAAAGTTATGACTAGATAGACACAATTGGGGACGAGCCTTGACCATATCTCCGCTATCTCCAACCTCGATCGTGTTCATTCGTGTGATGCGCGGGGTATCGACTTGAACGGGAGCTGTACCAGCATGCAACATCACCGTTCTCCGGCATTCGTACTCATCTATGAAGCTATCAAGGGTGTTTCTGTCATCCTGTGATGGCATGGGTATCGGAGCAAGAAGCTGCCATTCATTTGTTACTGAGAAGGGCACCGAAGTTCACGTAGATTTAGAAACCAGCCCACATAATGATGAGTCTCAAGCCCCAAGCCTTCCAGTAGGATCCCCTCGTGAACCAAAGTCCTCTACAGTCAGCAGGCACTTGCTGGCGAGACTCATCATTGGGGGTCGAAATGCAACCGTCGGGGAAAGATCCATCTGAAGGTCCCCTCGGGTGGTTTGCCCTGTATTTGGATAGACGCCAAATGCGGGAGTATGTTGGGCCTTGAAACAAGAGCCGACAGATGCATACTGCGCAGATTGCACCCTTAGGGGTTTACGCTACCGAAAGCGGCCTGCCGGAGTTTCAGCTGACGGTCCGCGGCCCACAGACAGGACAGCGATGGTCCGTGATAGGTCTGTTGGCGAGCTTGGCGCTGACGCACTTCCGAGGAGATGAGAGCATGATAGATCGTAGTGGCCGGCAGTCGGCCGAACCAAGGTAGTGGAAAGTTTGGATCTGCCCGTCCGCGGTTTCGCTTTTTGTTCCATGGATCTGGAGGGCAGGGGGGAGGGGTTGCGTGGTCCCGGGACGATTCCATGTAGGTTCCACTACCAGCCTGGATTGGTGATGCTTATTTATGTATCAAACGGTCAAGGGAATGGACAGTTTATCGGTAGAACAATGGGGGATTGTTATAGGCCACGTTGCGTGAGCGGAGTGATGCCTTGAGCTGGCCCTCTCCATGAGCAATGTGATCCCAAACGTTTGAATTATCGGTTAGAGAATGACAACAATAGGGACTTTGGTCCAAGTAGCAGGTATGATTGGCTTTGGATGCAACCAAAATTAACCCAGTAATTTAGCAGCGGAGAATGATCTCTTTTGGCGCAGATGCTTCCAAATCAGAACTAGGCACCGGACCAAGCCCCAGTAAGCCACTCTAAAATGCCGAAGAAATAGCAGGCAAAGAGCAAGTATTGGTAAAAGCGACCAGGGGCTGAGCCTCGTCCCATTGGCCACTCACTCGTGTGCCAGGGTCAGCCAGAGTTGGTCTAAGCCCTGGTCCTCATTGAATTCCGCCGTCTCCTCCATGTCGTTAATGTCAGATTAGAGTCTTGTGGCGTGAACTAAGGCAGACGCCAAGGTAGCCTCTGATTGGTCTCTCCCTGGATATGTACCGAATGGGCGTCCTCCAAGAGATGGGATGTGTTTGCGTTGCATTATGCACCGCCAGTACAGTACCCAGGACAGTGGCACCACGAGACGGGGAATTCGTGGCCGCCTCGGAGACAAAAGAGGGGTGGCATATGTATAAAGACAACTTCGCTTCTTGTCGGTATCTCGCTCCATCTTTCCTAATCACAGACATTAGCCGACTCACCGGAACTGGAGCCAGCTACTGACATTGTTTCTGCAACCCCAAATCGAACCACACGACTTTTCCCTCTACCAACTAGGTAGTTCAGACTAATAAACCTAACTCACCATGCCAGGAGTCACCCGATCAAAGGCTTGCCAGTGCTGCAAGAGGAGGAAGATCAAAGTAGCCAACAGGTTCCTGTCCTGTAGTACTGAAAGTTGAGCTAACAGATCCTATCCAAGTGTGACGAGAAGTGGCCGACCTGTAGCCCTTGCAAGCGAACTAAACTCGAGTGCCCTGGGCCCTCGACCGTCGTGAAATTTGTTCATGAAGCTCAGGCTCACTCAACCAGCGACAGCGACCAGGACTCGTGCTCGTCCGAGATAACGGCGGTGGGATCGAACTCGGTCTCCCTTCACATGAGGAAGATCGTACACCGCCAAGGCGGTTCATACAGCTCGTTCCGCATCAGGAGCACCGCTCCTCGGATAAGCACTCGCCCTAAGCTCACGACCTTGTCGGACCGCATTGCAGCGCGACTCGTCAGTCACCTGGACCGGAGCCAGGAGTATGGCATCACCCTTAGGCTGGGCTATCTTCCCTTCCTCCCTCAGCGTATTCCCAATAGCGCTTGCCTTCGGGACTGCGTGGCCTTATTCTGCGCAGCGTGGTCTAATTATAGAGGACGGTGGCAAGCCGGCAGAGTTGTTACCATGAGCAACTATAGCAAGGCCTTGAGGACTTTGCGAAATACGTTGAGGGGCGACCAGGCGCTGAGTGTAGAGACTCTAGCTGCCATGACTCTGCTTGAGAGAACCGAGGCCTTGTTCGACTGGGGACAGGAACGATGCTCGGCTATCCATGCGCATGGTATAGGGCATCTTATCACTAGAAAAGGCTATGTCGACATGAATGATGAGTTGGATGTTGAGCTGGCGAAAGAAAACCGTGGGCTCTTGGTATGTTGTTGCCCCTGAGCACTTTTATTTCCCTAGCAAAAAGTTTGAGTGACTAACTTTTGTCGAAAACAGTTAGGCTACTGGGCTACAGAGTGCGGCAAGACCTTCACTGGTGATGCGAAAATCATTGAGGCACCCGAAGCGAATATTGATGGTGGGGAGTTCTGGGGAACGGATGAGCTGAAACCTTACCTCGAGTCAGCCCTGGCCATCACAGGCGGATCGTATGGCTCGTGGACACAATGGCTCCAGGACGCGGAGGGGATCCAGCAAGATCCTTTCGGCAGTGAGATGTTGGATCGTGCGACATGCCTGCGTCCCCAGCTCAGTCACGCGGCAGCGGAAACGAAGCAGTATCTAGAGAGCTTGATGGAGTCGACTCTCGATCTGGGCACTTTGACCAAGGACGATGACCCTGACTCAGCTTCAGGGAAGAGCTATGGATTCAAGACAGCAGCGCTAGCCCAGCTGTTCAATGGCCTTCTCATGCTCCGACTGGTATCTCTGAGGATTAGCTATGACCTGAGTGTTATCTATGGATCCCCAGACACCGAGCTGCATAGTGAGTACCAAGACGTCTGCAGACACGCATGGATGTGTATCTCCTATTTGAGAAAGCTCGATGTTAGTGTCTCTGCGGCGTTTCTGGGGCCGTACTCGGCATGCATAGAAGCTTCGAGCGATAAGGAGATGGATTCCTTACAGAGCATCATTAAGACCATGGATTCATATCTCGATCGTGATCTTGTGGGAACTGAGGAGCCACCTCACACAGCTTTGGAGTCAGAAAACATTTTCGCTTTTCAGTCGTTGGGCATCGAGTGACTCCCGGGGGCATCTGGCTGCCTCACCCATGAGAAGGTGGGAGGCTCAAGACTGCCAGATGCCGGTACTTCCGATAATTTCATTCGTCGTGGTGGCATAGAAAGTATGCCGTCAGTGCCGGATCTGAGAGGTGACCTATCATGGTCTGGTCTCAGTCTTAGAGCCAGTAACTGCTCTGTTGATGTTAGGAGATATTTCCAATGGACTGAGCTCTTGCAAACACCTATCATCTCCAGCAACTAAAACCATCAAGACTTGGTATGGCAACAGTTTCTGATCCTTGATCAGGAAGAAGGGTGCAGTACACCCAAGACATTGAATTCTCGATGCATCGTTCACATGAGTTAAATGTGCCAAAGTTGTTCGAAACCTAGGACACTTGGCTTCGTTGTTACATTATCCGAACGCTCTCTGTTTCTTGCTTTTTCTTTTCTTTGCTTTTCTTTTCGGCTGTCTTTCTGATGTTTAAAGCGGAAGCGTATCTATAAATCGAAGGGATAGATAATTAGACCCGGGGTTTGATCGTAGCGAATAGCATCTGGTATGCAGCTTGACAAATGTGAATATATAGCAATAATAAAAGATAGCCTTTACCAGCCGGTGAGGATTTTTTTAGGGATGTGTTAAAAGTGGTCGTGGCTAGAAATAGGAAACGATTCGAGCTTCATCATTTTCCCCACTCGTCGGTTAGGTTGCGAATGCGAGACGCAAGATTTAGCCTTGTAATTGGGCAGGAAATCGAGTGATCCCTGCTCTGGATGAACAAAGTCCTAAAGGAGTAATGTCATTGCGAAGCTGACCCAGCCCCATTGGATCGATGATGTGCCGTGCACACTTATATCAAGCTAAACGGAATTCGATCAACCATCCCAGCCCTGCGACAAACGCGTACATATTACACATAATAGGATTGTCAAATATAGGCAAAGATTGTTTCATTGAAGGCGCAGCGCTCGGACTCGCATCTGCATGTCTTGGGATACGATCATCACTTGTAAACTATAAAAGACAACGGTGAACCCTCACCTTTATCCATCTCTCTCTCATCAACTTCATTATTCGATATCTGTGCTATCTACTACTATTCAATCCTTATCAGTCATGAGAGTTTCAAGCCTAAGTGGGAGTGCCATGGCTCTAGCCTTTCTTCAATCTCCCACCTCGGCCAAAGCTGAGGAAGAGCCAATCCTATCTCTCAGTACGGATAGTGCATTCCACTTTGAGGTTCTTGTCTCCCTCGGCGAAGCGCTTTATGGAGGTTCCGACTTAGCGCCTGTTTTGGGCGCTGCGAAGAACATCACCCCCGGCGACTTTGAGAGCTTTTCCCAGGCCTTCCAGCAGCTGGCATACAAAACCAAAGACCAGGCTCAGGATGAAGAAGCAAACTATGACCCGGTAAATGTTGGAGAAACTTGGTTCTCCGCTGCAACATATTTCCGCCGCGCCGATTTCTACCTCCACAACAACTGGACCAACCCCCTGATCAACACTCTCTGGGATGAGCAGACAAAGGCCTTCGACAAGGGGCTGAGCTCTCTTCCTATCCCCGGCAAGCGCCTCCAAATCCCAGCGGATAACTTCACGGTCGAGGCAATCTGGTACGAACCCATTCCTCACCTGTATAAGAACCAAACAAGCAAGCGTCCCACCTTGATCCTCGGAAACGGCTATGATGGTGCCCAGGAAGACCTCTACCATACTGTTGTTGTCGCAGCCCTAGCTCGAGGCTGGAACTGCTTGACATACGAGGGTCCTGGCCACCCAACTGTCCGCCGTAAGCAGAATCTTGGATTCATCCCCGATTGGGAGCGTGTTGTCACCCCGCTGGTTGACTACCTGCTCAAAGACAGATCCAATGTTGTGGATAAGGATAAGTTGGCTCTCTTTGGATTTTCTTTCGGTGGTTATCTCGCTGCTCGAGCGGCTGCATTTGAGCCTCGCATCTCCGCGGTAGTCTTGGACGGTGGCGTGTGGGACTCTTTCGAGGCGTTCTCACCCAACCTATCCCCGGAGCTCAAAGAATTGTTTGATGCGGGAAACAAAGAAGCCTTTGACGAAGCGGGGAGAGGACTCCTCGATAATCCTCTTGTTCCTTCTCAGGCACGCTGGGGTTTGGCCCAGGGCATGTGGGCGTTCAACACGCAGTCACCTTTTAATTTCTTGCAGGCGACGAAGAAGTACGCGGTCAAAGATTTCATCACGCAGATCAAAGTCCCCGTTTTTGTTGCCGACGCAGAGAGCGAGGGGTTCTTTTCCGGCCAGCCGCAGATGGTGAAGGATGCTCTTGGTGATTTGGCGACGTTGTATACTTTCAAAGGAGCTGAGGGCTACCATTGCCAGGCAGGAGCTTTCTCTTCCTTGAACCGAGTTATGTTCGGGTGGTTGAACAAGGTGCTTCCCAAGTAAAAATGCAGGGGACATTCGACTGCAAGGACAAGACAAGATAATTAGATATATTTGATTGTTGCTTTTGCAGGTGCCACGCTTTTTTCTACAGAGCGAGCGTATACATACTCCCCCGCAGCTAGAGATTGCACCTACAATACATCTGTTTCTCTAGAGTTTGAACTTTATATTCAATGATACTAGCTACGGTATAAAATCCCTCTAGTAAAGTAAAGCTACAGAATTTCCTTCATTGTTTGAGCTGCCATCATTAAGAGATCTGTGAAAACGGTCAAGAATATAATGTTTGCGATATACAAGTATACTCAATCTCGCTCACTCACCTAGGCTAGTACGCGAGCTTGTAGAATTCTGTTTTGGGTGCCTTTAACGAAAGGCAGAATTAAACCTCCTTCTCTCCAGATAAGCGGGCTCCTCATGGCAATAGGCTCTCCTAAGCGAATGATCTGCACTGCTGAGCGTATCATTTCGTCGTTTCGGCCGAGTGCACCTGGCTCAGGCCATCAGTAAAAGATCTTAGGAGTCCTCCTCGCGGACAACGCATCCTATCGGAGATGCCTTGTCGATTTGGGTTGACAACTGGTTCCAACGGGTATCAACGGGATAGCTCAGAACGAATCATAATTAAGGCACATCATGCACCTTTGTTCGTGTCATGCAGGTAAGCCACCATCTACGAACATGACTGCCATTGTAACTGGGCTTGTTTGGCGGTGTATCTCATTTAGCGGTGTATCCCACTCCTATGAAGTTGCTGTCAAGTGATCACTCTATGACGCATTCTGAATAGAGTATGGAGCATTTGATGCCGGTGATTCTGCAAACTCCTAATGAAGCCTCACTATAAATGATGCCGTCGGAGTGTCTAGCGACTTTGAGCATGCCACGTCGTGCATGTTACCCCACAAGGACAAGTCGAGACAACCACTACAGGAAGAACCGGTTTGCCAAGTTTAGGGGCGGAAGGTACACCAACGACAATCAAAACACCTCTTGGTTGGTGGGGGAGGAATGGTACTGGATGGAATTAATGGGACTTACACTTTGAGTAACCATCACGTAGCGGGGGTTGCATATATCGACATCGCCTTGGAAAATTAACTGGCCACCGGGAATCGTTGATTGTTGGCCAGTATCGGATGCATGCCTCAGCACATCTTCTCGACATTCGATAGCAGGGCAACTTCTCAATATCGATCACCTAGCCTATCGTGGCTATAAAATGTGCCATCTAAACTTGGTTTCTTGCAAACTAAGTCAAGTTGTAAAGCAACTCTGCCGATGAAGATGAGTGTTCCTAATTTCTTATCCGCTCCAGGGCAGGGGAGCAACTCCCGAATTCCGTCACTAGTTGGCCAAGCGAGCAATCGGCGTTATGTTCCCATACGCACAAACGGGCTACCAGAACATTTGGGTGCGAACCAGAATGTACTGGAACCACTAGCTATCAACCTTGGAAATACTGGAGAGCCCGCATCTGCACCCGGGGACACCAGTCCTCCTACAGTTGCAGAGTCGAGTACCAACACCCAAACCAGTCAACAAACTGCTGCGAGCCCACCTGCTGAGGAGGTTAATCATGCCTTTCCCTCAAGTTCGATGACCGGCCCTCAGACCACTGCAGGACCTGCTCCAATGTTGCCAGCCGAGGGGACGGGCCAGGGTGCAGTGGAAGAGCCAACTACCATCCCCAGTAGAGGGACTGCGTTGGTCTCTGTTTCTGACCAAGGCGTTCAAACAGACATGGAGAACATCAAAGGCCCTGCGTTGGTGGAATTAACCACACGGTGTGATCGTTTAGAAAATCTACTGGGTCTCCTAATGGTCAAAACGCTCACCTTCGTGGAGAATGTTTCACAGCCGTCGACTACCTGTGCATCTAGCGCTTCTTCCACCTCAGGCACCACCCAAACCAGCCTTGATGTGCATCCTGCTGGTGAATCTTCTGTGTCAAACGACCGATGCCAAGAATGCATCGAATTGAAGAGGCAGATATCTCACTTGGAACAAGACCATAATATTGAACAAGAATCACATTGGGAGATAAGAGACAACTTGACTCAGATGATCGAGGAAAAAGATCGTCAAACAAGTGAAAGAATAGGTCATCTGGAAAAGAATCTCCAAAACGCCTCGGCGGATCTTCAAAGGGTCGCAACAGAGCTTGACAAATATAAAATGAGGGCTTCATACCTACAAGGCAAATTGAGAGGTCAGCACCGTCCAAGAGGCAATGTTACGGGAGCACGACTATTCACCAAACAGAACCGCCACGAATTGAGGGCTTTCGCTGCATATATCCAAAGATTGACAGCAGAACCTAGAGGTGCTGTATCTCCACCCACAGTCTCATCAAATCCAGCAGTGCAGAACCTTCGTCATAAACAGCAAATTGAAGTAGAATCAAACACCAACACAGACAGTAGGCGACCACATCTGCACCAACAATCTGATGAAAGCAGAAATATGATGCTACCTCACGTAAATGAAAAGGAGGTCACCTTTTTGTTGCCTAATGACGAACAGAGTCCCCGAAAACAAGAGCAGGGTACAACATCCCACACCAAACAACCCAGGGCCAACACTGTGACGATGACCCAACAGGAGGCCTTATCAAATACTGACAGGAGAAGCAATGTTTTGGACAACAATACTGACAGAATCAAAGCAAAGGCGGGAAGAAATCGGAAACCTCAGTCTAGACATGTCAAGCTAGAGGTTACACAGCGGCGTGGCCACAGGTGTGTTATCTTCTCTCGAGCATGTCCCTCTGTCATCTCAAAAGTTAATACTAATTCGGAGCAGAAAATTACGGGTTAGCTATCCTGGACGACGCGCTCTCTACTTAGATCCAGGCAGGATGGGGTCGAGAATTATCAAGGGACTCATACGCTGGATCTTTTGAATAGGCAGATTTATTTCAACCTTATTCCCTTTTTCGAAACATTGTCAGTGCTTTCTTACGTTTCCAGCTTTATTCTCTATTTATTCACGCAATATATGTTCCGTCTTTCTCCCTGTCTTTGTATCGGTTCACGGAGTCTCGGGCCCCTTGTGATAGTCTCGTCTATTGTGGGAATCTGGGCTAGCTCAAGAAAACATTTGATGATTCTAAGAGCGCAATAGGGACCACTGTGGGACGGGAAGAGATCTCCTCTCGAAGGATCTAGAATGATTTGTACTCCTCTCTTAAGTGTATCAATCAATAGCTTATGCAGGCACAATATACTCAGTAAAAATGATGCTTTGCCATTTAACCCCCTTCTTTATCTACTCTGGTTGGCATTTCTTCTCCTTAAGTGTAAACGGATTCAGGTCCTTCTCACAAATTCATGCGACCTTCTGGGGCAATCTGGGCGCAATTTTCTATACCTCATCTTGTCTTTCCTCTTCATGTTCGGCACCGTCAATGTCAAAAGATACCAAGTGATGCTAGATCTAGAACATTTCCTTGCAACTTAGAATGCATATTCCGGTCCGACTCGAACTTTAGGGCATATGTTTACAAGGCGTTTTGTTTCGGGCATTTACGTTGTTTGAGCCATCAATATCCACAGAAATTTCGTGTAAATGGGTCTCGCTCTTTGTAAGTTCACGAATCATTCTCAGAAAATGACTGTAAAATTAATTTGTGGCAATTGGAAAAGCGTGATGGTTCACACCAAAGTCCAAAGAAGAAACTTCTGGCGATATTGCCAATATCGCTTTCCACGCAGCTGGGATTTGACTGCCTGGGATATGACAAAGACCAATCCATACCTTGTCTCAAGTATATCCCAGCAGAACACCACCAGAATCACAGGCTAATTGGAATGATCCAGTTCCTCAGCTGGGTCCAAGTCTACGATTAGCACAGGGTCGGGAAACGGCTAAGCGGCGACCACGGAAGAATGGACCGAACCTATGATCTTCTCTAACCTTTGCCATACACGGTATTTTGTGATGAGAAAACGAGATCCCCGTAGACTCATTCTGGTATAGAGTATCTGCTTAAATTTACAGATTTTCTACCCCTTGCTTTGACCTGGCCCTTGCCCCTTGCCCCCCCCTTTTTTCTCGCACATTTTGAGATTTATCCCGGCTCATGCATGGGCGTGAGAAATTTCAGTTTTATTTTTAACATCTTTCTAATTCCTTATGTTGATGGAACTGGATTTACTGAAATATTACAAAAAATCATACATTAAAATTTCTCAATGAAGTCAAATACACCGTCTCTTAAAGGGGTCTGGCTCACTGAACCAGACTGACTGTAAAACGAAGTAGATGCTGCTATCATGTAGAGCTGGATCGGCCGCCCCCCCTTACGTCTGGCGCCGAAGATTCAAGCCTTGGTCTCAGAGGCGAGCCCTATTGGCCCAACATCAGGGCAACATATGGCCCTGATCAATGCGATTTCCAGACCCTGGACTCCAATTGGGCTACCCGACAGGTTCAGAATGTCCGCATCGATCGACTCCCCACAGCAGCGTCGTAGTTCTCTCAGGGAAACCCACTGATTTACTGGGGCTGGGGGCTGAAAACGTTTGACAGGTCGGGTTTGGCCGTATGGGATGACGTTGCCGACATTTGGCAATAAAAATATCCCAGCCAAACCTGTGATCGGTGCAGAAAGGGGACCGAGCAAGTTGCTGAAACGAAGATGCGAAAGGAACGACGGTCAAAAGCAAAAAGACGGTTTCTCAGCCCTCGTCCCCTGTTTCCTATGTCCGCTCCTGGTTCACAGACCTAAAGCCGCACTTTACTTCATCTGACAGGCAAGGGTGGCGATGTGCAAATAAAAAGAAAGGTGCAAAGAGGTGGACTGATACCATGCGTGGAGACCTTTTGGCACCTGCTATGCCCTTCAGTGATGAAAAAATGTCCCGACGCCGATTACGGGTAGAAATAGGGCCATTTTCCTCAAATCTTGCAAATTCTATGCTCTCCCGTCTTCTCGGCTGGTACTGCCTCTACCCTGGTGAAGTTATTCTTTCATGGCCAGCTTTCCAGTCATAAACGGAGTAACGACCTTTCTCGCGCCACCAGAAGGCTATGAGGTGGACTTCGATAATCCCCAAAGCCGGCATGTGCTCGACCAATACCTGATCTTCGCCCTCTTGGGGTCTTTTGCGTTCTTCTGTCTGGTCCAAAGAATCTATACGAAACATTTCATTGTTGGCGGATCCAAAATTGACGACTGTGTGTACAAACTGTGGGGATCGTATGTCGAATAAGAAGCCTTCATGATGTCCTAACGCGGATTTTCTCGACAGATCTGATCGCTGCAGCTTGGGCTACATCTTTGGCGATGCAGGGAGTACAAACTTGTAAGGCTGCACCGCTTCGCCTATGATAATAAGCTTAGTTGTTCCCAAGTTTGGCTGAAACATCTATTTGATGTAGGGTCAATATCAATTGGAGGCCTATGTCACCATGTCTGGGAGATGCCCATCGAGGTCTTTGAAAAACACATGCTGGTAGGCTGATCACAGTATAAACTATCACTCTTCCTGCCAAGAATGACCTTAAAACTGGGCAAATTCAACAGCAAGTGGGAAAAGAACTGAGATTGAACGACTTCACTCACCCCTTTATTAAACTAGAGCTCCTATATCGCTGCGCCGTTATTCATCATCTGCAATGGACTCAGTAAGATGTCCCTTCTGAGCTTCTACCTACGAATTTCATCCCAGTCAGCGTTTCGAAGAGCCATTTGGGCCGCTATAGCAATGGTGATTTGCTACACGGTCGTGATTGCGTGTCTGCTCCTTTTCGGTTGCAGGCCGATACGTGCCAACTGGGACCCCAGGTTATTAATAGCCGGAACGTCGGATCAATGTGTAGATTCGGCATCCATTTACATCGCCATTGCTGTTGCAAATATTGTCTCCGATGTGGTCCTCTTCACCATCCCAATCCCGACTGTTGTTCGGTTGAAAATGCCTCTGGCTCAGAAACTTGGCGCAGTACTTATTTTCGCCGTTGGTTCTCTGTAAGTCATGGATACCTCACTTTTGCACTATTGGATTCTCAAGTAGTATCCTTAAGCTGAACATAAGACGATAGGACCGTTGCCACCTCAATTATTCGAATGGCTTATTTGCCGTCTCTCCTGAGTACCACTGATATCCCATGGGTCGCCGCCCCTGCAAACGTCTGGGTGTAAGCATGAACTTGAACTGAATATTGAATAGAAGTTAAGTATACTAACCGGATGATGTGTCTAGTTTTGCCGAGGCGAACCTCTTTATTGTATGTGTCTCCATGACTACATTCCGAAAGTTCTTCCAACGATTTGCACCAAAGTGGCTCGGGCTCGGTAGTACGATCGATGATGGATCCAATCCGTTAAAGTCCACGACCTACAATATGTCAGCAAGTCGAATGTCCCGACAGAACCGTACGGGATACTCGCAATTTGACTCTGCGGAAGTCGAAAACATGCCTAGTGAGGACGATCAACGTATTGAACTACGACCGATACCTGCAGGCGGTGTAGTTGAGGGGACAACAACAACAACCGTTGTTGGATCTGAAGCTGAGGAGGCTGGGCCTCTTCCCCGAGACGATGCCAGCGACCAGGCAATATTAAACAATAACGCAAATAAAGGGGAGATCATGTACACGAAGACATTCGAAATTCGGTACAGTAAATAGCCGTGGAAAGGTTAGACTCGTTCATGATTTGTTTGCATGCGATACATTGACGACTTGGAAAAATTATACAACTTGGATGAGAAGTAAAGAATACAGCTGGAACCTGCAGATGCTCCCTGAAAGGAAACCTTTTGTGTTGAAGCAGTGCGAATGATGATGAAGTTATTCTAGATCGACTACCAGAGAAAGCATTCCGCTGTTTTATTGTGAGTTAACGTTCTTGTACATGAGCAAAAAAGAAATGATTAAATGTGCCTTCATAAACCATCCTTTGAAATGATGAGGTTGATCCAATATTGCTTTCGCAAACGCCGGGGCCAGGATTGATGGAATATGTAACTAATGTTGGGTGGTTACTATCATAATTAAATGGTTACCATGATTGCACATCTTGTGGCAATAACATAGCACGAGGGGGCATGTTCGTCAATCGGGAAGGAGATATGACACCGCAATCAACGTGGTCGAGGATTCCAAGATATGACCACCTACCCAAGGGTAGCGGGAACACATTTAAACAAGGGGCGGGGGGAAGTTAGCATCAGTCAATCAACAGTCACCAAAACCCAATAAGGGATAACCTATTGTACTGGCGCCCATTTAAGGAAGCGTCCGATAGAGAAGCATCTTCTAGTATATCTAGGGTAGGCGACAAGCTTAATCATAGGTCGTCCTGGTAGTAAGCTACGTCCTACCTAAATATGAGATGTCTTGCCTAGGTACCCACGGACCATGTTGATGAGCCTGGCGTGTGATGATCCAAGCGTCTGCGGTATGGGGTATTCCATTTCGGATGGGAGATACTAATTATTATACCTTTACCGCTCTAGAGAATTCTGGTAATGAGGTGTCTCCTCGGAGCCTAATGGTCCATCTGGAGGCCGAAATGATGTGGCTGAGACGGTATGTGGCCACAGGCAGCCCGTCTCTTGTGCATCGCCATGACAGCATGATATGGGATCTGTCTCAAATGCAACCAATAATGTTTAAATCTCAAAGACAAGTCAGCCACTAGAGGCCCCAGACCCCAATGTCTGACTTCTTGGGGCCCAACTTGCAGACGATAGTTGCTCCAACCCACTACCAATAATCATCCGACCGCTGTTCTGGACCTTGTAATCAAGCCCGGAATTGCCAATAGTTGATTCATGATTTTGGCAAGAGCTCTGTCTGTGTTGCTAGCCACCCGGAATCGCTGAGACACTGGGCTTTGTCGGTCGAGTATGGACCCGGTGAGTTACCTGACTTTTGGCACACAAACCCGGATCACATCCGCCAAAGTCGCTCAATCCCGTCCTCGAAGACAAAGGCGAATGGCCCGGAATAAATACTCAGTCACTGTGCTGTCTACGAGGTTACCCACGTACGCGGATGACAAAGACCCATCAGCTTAGTCTCCATCAGCGTGCATATCATGTCCAGCACATACCTGCGGGTCTTTCTCTTGGTGGCTAGCCTCAGATGATATGTCAGCTCTAAGCCTTCATGTGGTTTTTACCGGTGAGTCCGGTCCCATTATGCTTTGTTTACTTGCGTGGCTCTAGCCCTTTGAGTTCTCGCTCGATGCACGGGCATGAAAGCTGAAAAAGGGCGGTATATCGCTCAGCGGTGTCTCAGGTGGGAATTGACGGTTGTGCTGTGCAATCCTTCGCAATAGACAAGTCCGATCATTTGTACCCTGTTGAGGCCGCCAGCCCGAGAATTCCATGGGATTTCCTATTGCTGTCCACTTTAGCTCGAAGGTATCCTTGGGACTTGGATCACCAAGAAGCTAGCTGGGGCTTGGTGTGATTCCTTGTGGATACGAGGCAAGGATGGGCAGAGCTATTCCTTAATTATACAAGTCTTACCGGCTTACCAGAGATCGGCGTACATAGAGGGTTGCAAAATGTGCAGAGATGTTCACTGCCCCCAAAACCTGACGTATTTCAGACGAGAACAAAGAGGTCTGCAGGGCGGTGGCCCATCAATTATTGGCACAAGCTGAGCAGTAGATACATGCAGAGCCTCCACCCCAATTGCACAAAAGCCAACCACGTCGCGCCGCCGTCTGTATGGTCATGCTCCTTCGGCAGCTCGCTCATGCGGGCGGCGTTCTAATTTTTATGCTTGCCTCGATCCTTGGAGTGCTAGATCCGGGCTGGGAGCCGGGGGGTCGGGACGGTGCTAAGCTTACATTACGGTGGCCTCCTATTCACGAACCCAGACAAACAGTCTGACAACCAAATTTCCACCGCTCAAGGGCGATCTCAAGCCACTCTCCCCACCCGTCACCTGGAGCAGCCAGTCATGTTCCCTGGGTGGCTGAAAGATTTGCCCCAAAGCGGGGGTGTCGTGGGCTTTTGCGAGATGGACCGTCAGCAGACAATAAGCAAGGCTGCATTCACCCATGGCCATCAGCCCAAGCCCACGCTTGGCATCCAACCCGCCGCTGGGGGCCAAGCTTCCTCTAGTCTGTGTATGTATTCCACAAGGATGCAAGTCAATACCAAAAGCAAATCCAGCCGTTGGCCTGCCGGGAATTTACGTGGTACAGTTTGCTTGTGCACACTATTACAAAGCTGACGCTGAGCTGGCCAGCTCGCCCTTTCTCCCACCGATCTGCTCTTCCCTTCCCCTTCATCTCTTCTCTGTGCCTATTACCCCGAGTTTCTTCTCCCTTCTTTTAATCAACGATTGTCCATTGAGTAGTGGAGAGGTGATCAACAGCAGACTCCCCACTCCTCCGCCCTTGACATTGAACACTACCGCCTACTTTCACAATCACGACGCTGCAATGGTCGGCCCGGCAGTCGAGATCGCGGCCAGGGTGGGCGCCAGCTGCGCGTCCAACGACGGCGGTTCCTTTTACGTCTGCGAGGGCAAAGACGTCGAGTTCATCGGGTGCTGCACCGTCGACCCATGCAAAACATCCAACGGAAACTGCCCCCGCGAGAGTCTCAGAAACACCACCTACAGCGTCACCTCCCACGACCTGATCCCTCCGCAGCTGTGTGTCAGCACCGATGCCAACGACCAGTGGTGGACTTGCGGCTTCGTCAAGCCCCCTTTCATGGGCTGCTGCGGTGCCAATGCCTGCCAGAACGACGGATGTCCGACGGATAAGCTGACCAGTGCCAAACTGAACCCCGACTTCGAGAAATCCAAGATCTTCCGGTCCGAGGATTCCAACAGCAGCAAGCTTTCCAAGGGTGCGATCGCGGGCATCGTGGTTGGTGCCGTGGCAGGGGCAGCCCTCCTCCTCGCTCTCCTCTTCTTCTTCTGGAGGCGACGACAGGCCAAGAAGAACGCGGAACAGGCACAGCCTCGGGGACCCGTAAATAACCAGGAGATGGCCTTCCACAACAACGGACAGGTCCCCATCATGGAGTCGCCGCACAACAAGCTCGTGTCGCCCTACACCTCCACCTACGCGCCGTCGGTGGCCAACACGCACCAGGACTACATGTACCAGCCCAGCTCGCCGTCGCCGCAGATGCACTCGGCGCAGTGGAACGAGAACGGATACCACCACAGCCAGCAGCGCGGCTACGTGCCCAGCATGGTCTCGAGCAACGACCACGCCGACGGGTGGAACAAGCCGCCGCAGCCGTACATGGCGCAGGAGCTCCCCTCTGAGCACACCGTCGTCGAGCTGCCGGAGGACACAGCCCCAGCGCCTGCTCAGCAAGGTGACAGGAAGTAGTGGTTTTTTTTTTTGGCGGGCTTGCATGGCAAATAATGAGCGTCGGGGATTGTGGCTGGAGCTGAGGACATGGGTGGTGCATTAGACTTTTCAGCTGATGGGTAATTGATTCATGTTCATTGTAATCGCAGGCGTGGTAGCATATTTATTCATGGTTAATGCAATTAATTCTGTGCTAAGTACAAAGCACAATTTGTCTAATACTCAGCTTCTCTTCTGCATGTGTTGTAATAATGGATGGCATGCACCCAACGTCTACCTACGTAGCATCCTTTCATTTATAGACAAACCGAGTCGACCACCCATCACTTCCACTCAATCTCTGTGGGATTAAACGTGGTTGTTATATTCTGAATTGCCCCAGTAGACGTGCTGCCATCGTGAGAGCATCGCTGAAATACTCGCACCAGATCACTCCTGCTCCAAGGTGCCTCGGCCTCGAAATGCGAGGAATTTACCCACCTTCGAGGATATTTAACTCATCGCCCTCACCAGCTGGAAAGACTGGCCAATCCAGAATATCCCCGCCTGGTTCAATTAAGGTCTCGCGTTGGACAACACGGACTACCTTGTCTTTGAAATCTGCGTGTCCAATCATGGCTGAGACCCTCTCTCTAGGAAGCTTCGATGTCCGGTCGAGCTGGAGGCAAATCAGAGCACTCTCCGCGCCCCTTGAAATAACTACAAGGTCGAAAGTGTCCTGGTAATGCTCGGCCATCGACCAGATTTCACGGACGTATTGCTTGAACGGGGCCAAGCCCCCTGGATGAAGTCGATTGATAGTGTCCTCCACCAAGTCAACTCGACTGCAAACTATGATATTGGAGATCAAGTCAGGAGCCCGCCTCTAGGCAACCGCTAGCTTGGTGCATTGGCCGCTCATGATTTCATCGATGGTGTTTCTTGCCAAGCTTGTCACCCAGTCGAACCTACTATCGGGTCAAACCTGTAGGCACTGGCCTCGAGAATATAACGATCAGACTTCCAAGTCCCGCTTGCCGAGTAGCGGTCTCCGCACGCATTCATACCTTTGCTTCAAATGTACTGGATAAAGCTAGATGAACACGCAGTCTAGGGCCGCACTTCCTTTGAAATTGTACCGGCGCACTTCCCCCAGCTTGTGACGCAACTCCTCTCGTTGATAGAGAGCGCATCCATGACCTTCTAGCGGCTTTAGGAAGTTGATGGATACTGTATATCTTCCTTCGCCTCGATCAAGACCCTCCCTGTTTCCAAGAAGACGTCCTGCGGTTGCAAAATATACTCTGCCACTATCAGCTTGTACCACCCACTCCATGGATGGGTCTCTTACTATCCCAGGAAGAGCAAATACCTGATTTCGAGCATCATTGGCACCAATATTCCCTGAATACTCCATCGGCCAGATAAGACTGGGTGGCGTCGTTCGCTCATCCCGCCCGCCGTATCGCCTCCGGGCAGCGAGTTAATGCTGCAGCTCTCGAAGGGGGGAAATGCCGTAATGTTTCTCGTTTTCTCCTTCAGCTCTTAATAGAAACGCACTCCACCCGAGCTGGTTGTTGTCCCTCAAGTGATCAAGTGCTGAGCCCGAGTTCACTAACAATCCCAAATGTGGGAAAGGCTTGTCAAAAATAGCTAGATCTCACGGTTAAAAGCCAGACACGCTTTTTACCTCTTATTATACTCTCTTTTGAAAGTGCCCACCTTCGAAAGATAAGACTTTGCGTGCTTTTGAGCTTTAAAGACCGCAAAATCAAGCTAATAAATTACATGACCTATTTGATCTAATTAAAACTGAACTCATGAAACTAAATTTAAAGTTTATATGATTTCTGGATCTCAATTTATTTCGTGGCCCTTGCAATAAGTGGTTTGTCTCTATTGTCTGCGAGGTGGGCTGGCGGCTTGGGCGTCCCCAGCATAGTGTATAAGTGTTCGCGCTCAGCTAGTAATTCCCGCATTTATTTTCCTCTTGTTGACAAGGCTCCCTAGGGATCATCTCTCAAGATAGTTAGATTACATGGGCTCAATATAGACCTCTTCCGCTATGATGAGTAATAGCTGAAAGACGGCCCCAACACCGATAGCTAGCGGCAGCGACAATCAAATTACGAGAGCTGAGCTAGCGAACATTCTCTGTCATGGCTACTTCATAGGGATCTAACGTCTCTATCCGCCGTCTCAAGACGACTGGTGGGTAGCTATTGGTCCAACCCACGTTTTTTATCAAGTGGGATGGTTATCAGGCGTGTCTATATGTAGCTTGCTGTACCTCTTAGAAATTGATATAAGTGTATGGAAATGTAGGCAATTCGGTGGCGTGGTGAAGGATGGTTAGATGCTTAATTTTTGACATCAAAGTCGTTCCGCTCTTGTATATCAGACTAATTCATGCGCACAGCGTCTATCCCGTCGTCGTGCCCGATGAATTCATACGGCTGAACATGACTAGATTCCTGGGAGGAGAGCGAGGCAACTGAGTAGCAACCTTTTCGAGGATGCTTTGTTTTCATTGTATGCAGCGCAATGTAGCGTACCTAGTCTTTGCAACATGGATATTGGCGTCTGGCTGCTAGAATTAGATTACATAGGGAGACAGCTGGCCTCCACGGCAGCGATTAGATGAGCCTACTATATGGCGCCAATTCTACACTTATAACAGCCCCATAAAATTGAGACGCTTAAGAGTATTGGATTCATCTCAGGGCCCAACTAGATATCAGAGCTCTGTCTTCGAGCGAATTCTATTCCCATGTACTTTGGAGAATAGTGATTTTGATTTTCGGGGATCTCCGCCGCCAAAAAAGCCGACAATATCTGCGCGCCTGCTAAAAAAGCTGACTTATCTGCGCCCACTGCAACGAGACTGCGCGCGGCCTCAACCAAGCGCACAGCTGTGCGATAAAAGTTCCAACTTGAGAGGTTCAGCCTCAGCAAAGACTGCCTCCTACCCCTCATCTCCCCTACCGCTTCCTGCAGGGGTACCCTGGCTTAATGACGAGGTAGCCACTTGTTGAACGATCGCGCTGCAACATATTCTATCAAGACAGCGCTCGCTCTCGTGAGTTTTTTCCAAATGAGAGAGGTCAAGTTGCTCATCTCAAGAGTAGATGGTTTGCCGGGTCTGCACAAATTGACTATCGCACCCGCTGGACTCGGCTTGCAGTATTCGCTAGTCTTGATAGAAGGCAGAGAGTCCAAACCGGTAGCGACTGCTCGTCTCACTGGAAGAGAGAAAGGCCACTTCCCTTTGAACAGACCGCCCTGGTGCCGGTGGAGAGGTGGGAGGACCTGGCGCAGCCGTGGGGGAACTTGGCAGCGTATTTCCCTGTCTGCCAGGACCAAGTCTCTGTCTAGGTACCTTACTATCATTGGTGGCGGCTCTCAAAATACCCATGGAGACTGCCGTAGCCGCCGGCTGCTCTCGTCCGGCTAGGGCTCCTGGAATGATTCACCTGTTGGATACCTAGCCTCAATACGGAAATAATTTTTGACGCAGGTAAGAGTGAATAGTGCACATATGCGCTTAGGTACTGGAAGCAGGAAGCCAGCAGCACAGATGCTACGCTGCATGTTTAGTAGACACTCCAGTTTGTGCCTAGTCGTAAGTCTGGTTGAGCAATTCGGCCCCTCGGTCAAGTGACTGCCCTGTTGATGAGCTTCCGTTTTGGAAAAGTAAAATAAATGCGTCGGCACAGATGTGGCCATGTGTGAAACGGTCTGCTTGGTGATGACGGTAGGAGTAAGAAATGGGGTACGAGTACGGTCCCTACCAATAACTATGCCGATCCTTGGAATGATCCCTCTTGGGGGGGAAGAGGGGATGAGTCGCGGTGTGTTGCGCTAAGCGAGCTTGCCACCCCTGCCCGGCTCTTGATATAAGTCGTAGTGGTGTGAACAAAGACATGTCGAATGCCAGCGCTAGGCTAGTCCAGGTAATTCTTTTCTTATGTAGCGTTGCTGAACCTGGCAGCATCGGAGCAGGCGCATCAACTGTTTTATCCCCTCGCAGCAATCAAATATAAAATGCGTGGCTATTAAACCCAACATTGATCCCATAACTTTCCAAGGCCCAAAGCACAATCTTACATACATCCATCCAAGCGTCTTCTCATATCTCTTTTATTTCCTCTTTTGTTTGCTTTATCCTTTCTCCTGTTCCAACCGCCGATTCTGGCGTGACCCAAAAGCGACCCATGGCTCTAGTCCCTGTGCGTGGGACACGACCCAGGAGAAGTCGGTTAGAAGCCCGAGCCAGAAGAGTTTCAATCAATGCATCTAATACTTCCGATATGGCCGGAACCTTTGCCTGTCCCTTCTATCGGAAGGATCCCTTTCAGCATATGGACTGTGTCAAGTATACTTTGACACGGTTGAGCGACGTGAAGCAGCATCTTCAGCGACGCCATCTAGATCATCTCATCATCCGATGCCCTGCCTGCAATGAAGCATTCAATTCATTTGCTGAGCGCGACAAGCATGTCAACTCATCTACATCTTGCCCAAACTCTCCCTCTTTGGAGTTTACCCAATTCGGTCTTGAACAGAGCCCACACTTCAAATTGAAGACCCGTTCTCCGCGTGGCGCGGCACCTTCTGAAATGTACTTTGATCTTTGGGACACCCTCTTTGGAAAAGAGACAAGACCTTTGAGCCCTTACCTTGGTCCTGTCTTTTTGGAGACCATCGCTGCTCTCCGAGGGCTTTGGGAGACAGAAAAGTCGTCGATTGTTCCAAATATCATCAGTGAACAACCTCTCCTGTTGGTCGTGGAAGAGCAATCGCTCTCTACTACGTTGATGAATACTTTCGACCTGCTGCAAACTCGATTCGAAGATTGCGTGAGAGACCGATGCGCAAGCACGACTGCCCAGATTCTCACTCCCACGGGTCTCCTCAACAAGCCAAAGGCAAGCCTTGATTTTGGGGAACCCTCCCTTGAGCGGTTCGATTGTTATGTAGACCCCAATCTCGGCCTAGGAATTGAACCATTTAGCAACCAGCTTTCAAATCCTGAGTACCCGATGAGTCTAGTTCCACAAGTACATTACCAGGATCCAGCTGCAGCTGCAAACAACCGAGCCGATCATGTCTTGAAAGCCTCAACAAGTAGCGAGAATGATGCAATGATTCAAGACAAAGATCATCAGGCCTCGGAAGAAGCATCTATCGGGACTTTTCTAGATGACCTTGGAAGCCCGTTTCACTTCGATTACAGCAACCTTTCGAATTTTGATTGTCCTCAGTAGATAAGGGTTTGGTACGGGGGTAAAGCGACTGGCCTAGTATGAATGTATTTTGTCCGAAGGTAGATGTTGGATTTTATTGTTGGTGGAAATTCACCTATCGAATTTGCTACTTTCTTCCGAGGTTTATGGTTGATGAAAGCGCGGGAATCTGGATTATGTGTTCTATTTCATTTTAAAGCCTCCTTCAAGATACACGAATAAACTTATCAGTTGAAGAAATTCTGGTAATATTGATAGCATGAGAGAAATGGATGAAGAGATGCGCAGAGACAACAGACAACTATCTTGTGAACTAGTAGACTGGGTTATGACTACGCAACAACCCCAGCACCGACCGGTACCCAGAAAAGAAGCATATCTTACAGTGGGCTACGCTATACCGTAAAAGGCCGAATCGTTCCTCAAAGTCGTTTTGAGGAACGATTCGTCCTCTTACGGTATAGCGTTCTACTGCCAACAGTGCGTACACAAAAAAATTGTCCAGGCTTCTCACCAGCACCAGTATGGCCTGCTACCATACTTGTGTTTCGTTCAATGGTTATAAGCCCTGACGTTATTTGGAATGCTCACTTCTGGTAGTCCGCTTCAAATCTAGGCCAGCTTCACCGTCTGTGGGGTAGAGAAAAGGTCCTTGGGATCAAATCGGCTCTTGAGCGTCTGAAGCCGGGCAAGATTAGATCCAAAGTACTTTTTCTGGGGGTTCTTATGCCCGGTGCTGGCGATGCCATTGTAAGCCAGAAACGAATCGGACTTGTGGCCCAGAAGGATTTCGAACCCCTTGTTGACGAACGCGATAGCCTCGGCAGATGTTGTCTCGCTGGAGCTCGAAACGTATCCATCAAGAGAGTACAGAAGATCACGATGAGGGAACGCGGTGGCGTCAGCTGCGACGTCGTTGACCGCTCCGCCATACAGGTCAAACTGGAAAGACCAGCTGCCGAGATCGGAGTCGCCACTGAAGACATGGCTTGCAAATTCGTCAATAGAGCTGTTGCTTGAGATGGTTGTTGGTGTAACCATGGCGTTGATGATGTAGAAATGTTGTGGGGAGGCTGCAGGAGACGCAGTGCCGGTCAATCCGCTCATAAGAGTCGACCACGACACTCCGGTCTTGATAGTGGCGGACAAGGTGCTTGGCAGACGTGATTGAAGTCCGATGGCCTCGAATGCAGATTGGTTGCCAAAGAAAGCGCCGCTCCAGAGGAAAGTGGTTTCGGAGAACCTCGTTACTCCTCCAATTTCACGAGGTAGAGACGTGTCACGAAGGATCTCATGGTAGGCTTTGAGGGCCTGGACTAGAACAGATGAATCATTTGAGGTGACCGTGAAAGTGAACGTAACAAGTTCAGACGGCTCTGGAAGCGTGTTGAACTTGAGTTCAGTGACGAGGCCAAATCCAGCTCCTGCCCCACGAACAGCCCAAAACAAATCAGAATTGGCTTTTTCGGATGCGCGAGTTACTGTTCCATCAGCGAGCACAATCTCAACTTCAGCCAAGTGGTCAATCATGGCCCCGTGTGACCGGGAGCCATAGCCCAAGCCACCCACGAGCGAAAGACCGGAAACACCAATTTGGCCACCGGATGCTTGAGGTAAAAAGCGATTTCCATTATCGTGAAGTCCTTGGAATAGCTGAGCGAGGTTGTTTCCAGGTCCAACTGTTGCTAGTCCAGTGGCTGTGTCAACTTCGAAGCTTTGGAAGTTTTCAAAGTCGACAATAATGGTGCCGTTGGCGCCCCCAAGTCCTACAAAGGTGTCATTGTCAGTCTGAACCAAGTCCCATGGATGGAAAACATAAAAGATGAAACCATACCCCTGTTGGCGAAGTCAAGGTTTCCACTTCGGCCTTGAACCTTCTTGTCATTAGACCCTGCACATGCCACAACTGCACTGATTTCCCCGGTCGTGTTGGGGTACACGATCGCGTATGGCAGGTACTGAAGGTTGAGGTTAAAGTACTTTGCGTGTTCAGTGACAAAGGTTGCCGAGCTAGGATAATGGGCACGAGTACCGTCGCCGCTCAAGGCAGATGTCAGACAGGAATCGAGAGTGTCCACCACCTTTGTTCCCAGGCCTTTGGGTAATGCTGCCGCAAAAGAGGGAGCAGTGGCAAGCACCGCGATCAGGAACTCCTTCACGGAGGCCATGGTGATATTCGGAATGTAAGGATTGTCGTAGAGAGCGTGTTCAACCTTCAGGGGATTAAAGAGAGACTGAGTGGGCGAGTGTGGAAGGGAATGAACGAGTGACGGAGGGAGAATCATTATGAGAGAGATGGGCCGAGTATAAATATAAGATTTCGAGGTCCGAGCAAGATGTCAGAGGCATACGCAGCTTCTCGGCACAGCCTGGATGTTTGCTTGTTCGCCACAATCCAAAATCTGACAATATGCGCACGGTACTGAGGATCATGGATGAATGCCTGCGATGATGGAATTACCCCTTGCTGGAGTCGTTTCCATGCATTACGCATTCCTCAACCGCCCCGTCTTGCCCCAGTGTTTGTGAGCTTAGTTCCGGACACCGCGGGATCCATGGGCGCCCGTGCAAGGTATATACGAGCCGCGGGACGCATGTATCCCGCCGTCTAGAAATAACTCTAAATTGCTTAAATCAAACAGTTCGAACCTCAATGGCATGAAGAATGATCTCGCGCTCGGAACAAAGCGACCGGCATCACACACCAACTTCCCAATATCACGAGACAAGATACCCAAAGATGCAACGTCTAGAGAAGATGGATTGCACATTCAGCATTCAATCCTCGCATCCCAATGGATTTTCATTACTTTCAAGGGCCGAACACTGGAAATTTCTGCTTGGGTTATAAGGATCTCATTGATTGTTCATTGTGGCCTTACTATTTTTCACTATATATTCAGGAATACTTCAGAGAAGTCGAGCCTCGAAATCACCTGTCCTTCTGCGTATCCGAGGCGCCCGAGCCGAGCCCAAAGCGCCCTCAAGCGACATTACTGGACCGATAGGCCTCTTTCCGTCTGAATCGTTGTAGCAGAAGACACAAGGGGCGGGGATGGACGGTCTGCCTGGGTCTGAACAGTGTCATCAACCTTGGTGGTAGGTTTTGACAGCATGTCCTGGTATGTCTCTGCGAGCTGCACGCAGGTAGCCCAGATGCGTCTGCGATTTGACGTGCCCATGTACTTCCCTTTCCGTTTGAATCTTGGCTTGGTTTTTGTCCATGCCCAGAGATACACGGCCTTCATACTCGTCAACTTTTCCGCGAGAGCGGGAGAATTCAGAACTTCGTGGAGCTCAAAGAACCATCCCATGGTGTTTCGGATTTTCCGGCTCCAGAATGGATCATTTCCGTGGTAGGCAGAGTGGGTGTACCAAGATGCCTTGAGCAGATTCATCAGGTCTCTATGGTCAAGGCTGGAGACAATCTGGTCAAGAATCTCGGCAGGAACTTTGGAAAATGGGTCGAAGGTGACCTTCGCAGCCAAATCCGAGTGTAGGGCATCTAAACCTGAAGCCTGTTGCAACTTCGCAGTCTCTCGAGGTGACAGCGGTGCTCTTGTCAAGGGTGAGATTACATACAGCTCTTCCCCATTCTTCAGTTCCCAAAATTGAGCGTCGAGGATTTCGTGATTGGTCATTGTGTGTGGCTCATCGTAATCTAAGTCAAGACGAGAGCCGAATTCTGAAGAAAGGGAGCGCATGGTGCTGTACAAAACATCCTTGTTAATGCGCTCGGTATCTTCAGATCCGGTAATGTATCGACAGAGGAGTTCGAAACAGTCCCAATGAAAGGGATAGACGACCTTCCCATCGTCTGTTCTGTTGGCGGCAGAATAGCAGACGAGACCACTCATATTCACACCCTCTGCGTTTGGATCGTTTCCGTTGCTACAGTCCATACACCCATAGTCTGAATAGTGGCCTGGACCAGAGATGATCTAATTACCTCAAGGTCAGTACATGGCAATCTTGCCGTATGTCGTAGAGGGAGGGGTGAGCTCGGCTGAGACGTACTTGCTGACACCAGAAGCTTCGGAATTGAAACCAAGAATACGGCAGTCTCCTGTCCACTCGACATCCTTGGATTGGACGATGCGTGGATCGTATCCGTCATCGTCCTCGTCATCCTCTTCATCATCACCGTCCTCCTCCTCCTCGTCATCACCATCCGCGGATCCGGAATCGGACACCCCATCATCGTCATCGTCCTCAGACACTCCCGTACTTTCATGCGGAAGTTCGGTGTCTTCCCCTTCCTGATCTTCATCATCTTCCTCATCTACATCTTGCCCATCCGCACCGTCATGCCGAGAAGCCCTATCTACGTCGTCATCTTGCTTGCGGACAGATTGGGCCTTCAATGGCCCACCGCAGATGGAACAATAGCAATCCCAAGAGCCCATCAGATCTTCTTTTCACGAAAAAAAGAAAGAAGAAATAAAAGAAGGATTTTGTTGAAGGCAAGTAAGAGTGGCGGGGGGAGAGTCCAGGCGGAGATATATTCATGCTCATGGAGCTAGGCACGCTTAGCTGTTCAGCTCCTGCACGCCTTGCCGCTATTTCTGAGGAGAATGGCCGATCTAGCTAATTTAGTCGCCACTATTAGCTGGGCGCGAATCAACATCAGCACTCGGAGAACAAAGCACGGCTTGAACAATAGTGCGCTGACTGCTAACATCTCACATTTTCGCTATCCATAGTACGTAGCAGCTAGGTGGAGCTCCATGCAGTACTCCCTTTCTGTAAATGGCGGAGCTTTCACGAATTCTCTGATATCATAATTGTGCCTGAAGTAAAGAAGGACTCTAATGATCGTACTCTAGTCAAACACTAATCATGACTACATGTGAGCTAGTCTGACCAGCATCAACGTAAGACACAGATGATTTTGTCCAAAGAAATGGCCTACTACCAGGGTGGGCATGCATAAAGTGGGGTTCCAAAAGTCTGAAGCCACCCACCCAATTTCAGACTTCTATCACTATCAACGTGATATTTCTATATAAGAGATATATATAATAATATAGGAAATACTATATAAAATAGGTACTAATTAATAGCTAGCTATCTAAATTTTAATAATATATATACTAGCCCTATACCTTTTTAATAGCTTATAGCTAGTAAGGTATTAACTTAATTAAGCTCTAGATTTTCCTCTAATTAAGAGAGCACTACGCTTTCTATATATATTCTTTAAATTCTTTAATATCTAGCTTATTTATATATAAATTAGAGAGATAAAGGAATATTTAATAAAGCTATCTCTTTAATATAGCCTATATATATTCTATTAGGTTTAAATCTAGGCTATAAAGTAGTTAGTTAATAATACTAATAGTATAATTTAATAGCTACTCTATTATAGTAACTAAATAGTAAATTAAGGTATTATTTTATTAAAAATAATATATTTTATTATAATAAGGAAGTAAACCTTCCTCTAATACCTAAATATAGCTATTAAAAGTAAATCCTTTCTTCTTTATAAGCTTATTATATATTATAATAACTAAGTCTATATAGCTAGAATCCTAGATTACTATCTAGATTATTATCTAAATAGTAAGCTTTATATAATCTTATAAATTAATAAATTTTAGATTATATACCTTATAAGAGTATCTCTAAACCTAAATATCTAGATTATTTATTAAGTTTTAGATTATATACTTATCTAAATAGATAACTTAAATAGTAAGGTTAATAGCCTAATTAATATATATTATTTAAAGCTATAAACCTAGACTAATTCCTCTTCTTTTTTCTCCTAAAAATATATAAATTAAAGCTAAATAGTAGCTAATTCCTATATTAAAGGAATCTTCTTTTTCCCTCTCTATTTATATAAGTTATTACTATTTAATATATAATATATAGTAGTTAAGCTAATATTAAGACCCTATATTATAACTAGGGATTTTTATAGTATATAGAAGTCTATATATATAGCTTATATAATTACTTAAGAATCCCTAGCTATAAGGCTCTTAAGCTATCTAGTATAAGGTAAAGAGTTAAAGCTATTAGTTTATATAAACTAGTTAATTATATTAGTAACTATACTTTATAAGATATTAAACTAGTATATAATTAAATACTAGCTTTCGCCTATATTAAAAGCTATATAAATAGTTATATAGACCTTAGAACTTAATTTATAGTTTCTTTAATAATTTATAGATAAAATAGTGCTAAAAGTATATATTTCTAGTACTATTATATAAAGTTATTATTAAATAAAAATCAGGATGAATTATAGACCTAATGGTATTAACGCGAAAAAGTCACAGGGTGGCTTTAGACTTTTAGAACCCCACTATACTCCTCATAAGGTGCATGCTTCCTTTACAGCCCAGCTGATATACTGTGCATAGTACCTAGTGCATATAACATGAGGGGAGAAAGAACACTACACCGTAAAAGGAAAAAACTTTTCACAAACCGATTCGTGAAAAGTTTTTTCCTTTTACGGTGTAGCGTGTTTTAATGCCTACAGCCAATGCCAAACATCCATAGTAAGGCCCCCCTGCTTCGCAAATTATTCCTAATTTTGTCAACCATGGCATTGGCCCGGTGGTGGATTCTCTCATAGAAACGGAGAAAGCCTATGGTTGAGTCATGTCACCGTATCAAGAAGCAAGAGATACATATCTCCCGTTGTTCCTTCAGCAAAGTGTTGTTGGAATAGGAGAATGTTGGGCTTTCCCCACATTGGCCACTTGCTATTAGCCTACCCTATAACCAATTATCCTGATTCTCGAGATAAAAATCCATAATGGATTGTAACTGTAAGTCGGAATAATTTTATTTCGAGCTATGGAGATGGTTTCTAGCTATCTTTTGTTGAGCCGACTAATTAACATGGGATTGGTACCGAGCGTAAATATGATGATGTATCGCCTTACGCTTTGGGGTGAATTGATTTGGTCTCAACGATAATTGATTGTTTTGGATTCTGCCACCCAGGATGCAGAAGTTCATCTTGATGCCCTTAGCAACTGAACCCGGCTATGTGCTTAAAAGGTTGATGACTAGAATTTGTAGAATCGGACCATCTCTGTCTCAGAATATAACCACCATCTCCATCCATGTCTGCGATTTGAAACTCGGCGCCTGTCCCCCAGGGTTTGTGAGAAGAGTCAAAGCATTGAGGAGCGGTATTAACTTCTCTATTATATACGCAATATAACTTTGGATCAATTTACCAATTGGTTTATAGAACTGCGTATTCTAGGATGGGAAGCTGATGCGATGGGCGGATATTGACCTCGAGGTGTTGCGAAAGCCCGGCTTGATTTCCCAGTAATATTGCAGGCTCGCCATCTCGCCACTCAGACTCCACCCAAGCATTTGAGGCTGAATTGTTGCATCAAAGTTGTTGGCGCCGTTTTTGGAACGTCTCCTTCAGGTATTTGGCTGAGTTCTTCGGTGTTCGCTTTAGAGTAGCGTAGTCCACGTGGACAATGCCAAAACGTGGGCCATATCCTGCAGACCATTCTAGCAAACCATTAGTAATTCGGGTATATTGGAAGCAAAGATGTGCGCAGGCTGTCGAGGATGTATTTACCAAAATTGTCCATAAGTGACCAGACGTAATATCCCTGAACAGGAATCTTATCCTCATAGATCGCACGTGAGATAGCATCCAAATAGAGACCAAGATACCTCTCGCGATATTCATCGTTGACTGCGACTTCGAGCTGCGTCTCTCCCGGACAGGGGCAGCCGTTCTCAGTGATAATTATCGGTAGTCGATACCGGTTCCATACCCAATTCATTAGTTTCCTGAAGCCCTCGGGAGCCATTCGAAGCCACTGAAGGCCCGAAACCGGACCAATTTCTATGCCTTCGCTGTTTACTGACGACTCCTCAATGTTCCCCGTCCAGTCATCAGCCGCAGGAGGAGAAGGCAGAGCGCGAGCGTACTTCGTAGAATAATGGTTCATGCCATAGAAGGCTTTTGAAGATGCGGTTTGTTGCAAGAGTTGAAGCTCGTCAGATGTAAACTGGGGAAGCCTGCTTCCTAAATAGCTCCGCATCGAGACGGGATAGTCTTGGCCCAGAAATATTGGGTCTCCGAACCAACCGATATAAAACTCAAGTCTCCTCTGGGCAGCGTCTACGTCGGCCTGAGAGCTAGAGTACGGCTTATAAAAATGACTATTGAGAACAATAGAGATGGTTCCAGCTTGGGACGGCTGGAATTCTTTGGTGTAGAGCTGGACCACTGACGCATGTGAGAGAATCAGAGTGTGACCAACGCGCCATGGTTCGGTTTTGGTATCAGTGCCCATTTCTGCGCAGTGACCTGGGGCTAAGACGCCGCTATGATGACCAAATATGGAGATGATATACGGCTCGTTGAAGGTGACCCATGTCTTCACGCGGTCGCCAAATCGTGTGAAACAGAGCCGGGCGTAATGTTCATAGTCAGCCTTGAACTCAGCTGTATTGAGAAAGGCGCCGTAGCGGTCGTATATCCCCTGAGGCGCATCCCAATGGTAGAGTGTGACAACTGGCTTGATTCTCTTAGCCAGAAGCTGATCGATTAGACCGTTATAGAATGCCACACCCTTTTCGTTTATTGGATCGTTGCGGCCACCGAGAGGAATCAGACGGGACCAAGAGATTGAAAAGCGATAGACATCAACCCAAAGAGAGCTCATGAGGCCCACATCTTCTGCCACCCTGTTGTAGTGGTCGCATGCGATGTCCCCATTCTCGCCGTTTGTTCGTGAAGGCTCAAGGTGGGTGAAAGTATCCCATATTGATTTACCCTTGCCATCTTGAGAAACCGCTCCCTCAATTTGGTAAGCAGCAGTCGCGGCTCCCCAAGAAAAATCCTTTGGCAGAGGTAGGTTTTCGACAGGAAGATCATGGCCAGTTGATTGACTAAACTCCGTAACCAGATCGTCAGCCTGGAACATGGACGCCTCTTTTGACATGACGAGGGAGGTTTAGAACACAGAATCGGGAGGTAGCTTGACAAGGATAATTTCCGGGCCATTGACTCATTCACTTACCAGTGAGCACAAAGCCATGCACCATTCATTTCTCTTTTATCCTTCCGAGACAAGAAGCCGGACCCGGTGGGGACGCTTGGATATGGATGCTCCCCACACAGAAAGTCCGCGGAGTAATTACTGATGAGCTCCGAATGAGCGCGAGTAATGGAGGAGATTACCAATACTGGTCTATATCTGCAGGCCCTCGTAATGCCTTACGTACCTGAACGATACTAAGCCGACTCTTTGTCTAGCCGAATCTGATTTACTCACCAGCCAAGCGAAGCCTGTGAAAATGACCTCTGTGTTGGATGTTCAGTTCGAGCATTATCATGCTCCGAATACAATTGGCTTGCATGAAAAGGCTCCAAGAGTATCGTGGAAAATCGTATCTC